GAGAGAGAGAGAGAGAGAGCGTGTGTACCGTCAAATTGGATCTGACAGGTACAGGAGGAGATTGGTCCTCCTTGTCCGGCAGAGCATCTGGTGGATTCGAATCGCGCACCTCTGGGATTGCAGTGCAGCTTCTTGCCACTAGGCCACCAGAGCTCCCTTGAACCAGTGTTTCTGATAACCTGTAAAACATGTTGCACTTGAGAAAAATCTGCGTGTCAAGGACTTCTCTCCAAAGTTCTAAAGAGTAAGAATGTCAGCCTTCAGGCTAAGGTGCCCCTTACCCAAAGCCACGGTATTTTCAGTCACTTCCTGTGCATCTGAAAGTCGGACGGTGAGTAAGGAAGCCTGAAGGAGAACTGGTGTCTTTGAACTGCGGTGTTGGAGAAGAGTGCTGACTCTCCCGTGGACCGCCGCAAGAACAAACTAATCCGTCTTGGAGGAGGTGAAGCCAGGCTGCTCCTCGGAGTCGAGAATGGTGAAACTTGGTCTCACCTCCTTTGGGCGTGTTGGCAGGAGGGGCCAGTGCTTGGGAAAGGATGTCACGCTGCAAAAGAGGAGGGTCAGAGAAAGAGGGGGAGACCCTCAAGGAGATGGATGGACACAGTGACCATAACTGTAGGCCGTCAGAGGTGAGGACGGAGCAGGAGAGGACAAGATTCTGACCCGTGGTCTCTGTGAGTCGTAGCCGGCTTGACAGCACCTAACTACAGGTGACATCAGCCAGTGCAGGCTGTTAGCGTTGTTAAGGTTCAGCAAGGCCGAGTTCTGCCCGAGGATTTTCCAGACCATTCTCTTCACAGGAGCAGATCTCCAGACCTTTTCTCCTGCAGAACGGCTGGGTGAGCACAGGCTACCAGGTTTGTTTGTTTGTTTGTTTGTTTGTGGGTTTTTTTTTAATATGGCTACCAGTTTATTGTTATACATCAGAGAGTTGGACAATGACCAGGAAGGCTAGAAGGAGAATTGATGCCTTTGAGCTGTGGTGCTGGAGAAGAGTATTGAGAATACCATGGACGGCTAGGAAAACAGATTTGTCCTGGAAAGGGTTAAAC